CAGGACCTAAAGCACTTACACAAATTACTTCGCCTAGCCTAGATTTTGTGACCGATTTGCCATATGACCCATTGGATAGTCCTCACATAAAACTTTGTTGTGTGATTTTTTTTTTTTTATTTATATTTTTTTTTTATTTTTAGTATTCATTTTGTTCCCATATGTTTTATTTATTTATACACACCCGTCATTTTTCCCTAAATTTTAACAATCTCGCATACGAAGGAATAGACAACCATTGGTCCGGTTTGTTTAATATTTCATTATAGAATTCCCATAGAAAAAAACACAAGTTGGTATGGACCAAGATAAATAGAGAAATAAATTATAGACTAGGCCCTTGCTACAATTCATTTCTACTTCAATATTCTTGCAATCTTAATCTGTTAACTTTTATTTACAAATTACCAAAAATAGTAGCAACAGCAGTTTATTAAGTGACTATAATGTCATAGCACTTGCATACAAGAGATTAGTTGATTGGACAGCTATAAATATCCAAAGTATTTGGGAAGGAACATGATTGAATAAGATAATTACAAAGAACAAATTCTAAGTGGGCCTAGAAAAAAAAAATATCGCATAAAAATGATAGAATCGGGTACACCCCAAACTAACAAAATGGAAAGTCCGGATTGTCTCAAGCTAAAATATATATGAAGAGAGTGTGAAAACCGATGAATAAATCCACCACGGCGACATCATGAAACATCCGCTTTTCACCATACGAAGGCAAAAAGTCTCTATGCTAAAAACTTGAAGAAACATTAACATCCTTACTCTTAATTCCAAGATGATCCCATCCCGAACCAAAGTGGTCTCTTTTCTCTGCCCCCAGACATGTTAGTTATCCTTTGGCCAAAGTGAGATGCTTAGTACGCTGAACTGACTTACTTAAATGAATACCAATTTAGGAAAAATATTTCCTTGCCATTTTTGGGATGTATGCCTGCCCTAGTTACATAAAATTACCTTTAGAGGTGTTTCCTTCTCTTAGACACTTGCTATTCCTGGGTTCAAAAATATATTCGGGTATATTAAGGTCCGGTCAGGCCGATAAAATATTGAAGGAAACCTTCCTGTTAGTAGTTGAACGGTATTTTATATGTGATAGCGGAGTAATTTGTTTATTAAACCAAAGCGATAAAGAGTCCAAGCCCAATTTGCATAAGAAAAAATCCAATTTCTAATACCAACTATTACCTGTTTGGTTATGACCACATAAGATATCAATAACCCACTTAAAGTTGATTATACTTGCGATGACGAATCCTGTTATAATTTCTTTATGTGAAACATAATAATCTCGTGTAAATAATAGAAATATAGACCTGCTATTGGACTGTTTTTATTTCGAAAAGTGAATAACGAAACACTAAGCGTGGAGCGTCTAATTTTGTTTAGAAATTTAATTATGATGATAAAGATATGAACCTTTTCATGTTCTCTGTGATCCAAAGCTCGATCCCATTGTGGGCACGCTGAATAGCAACATTCTGCTGAGTAAATAGATTAGCGAAACGAAGATGACACTAATGATTGCACAAACTCTAATAGAACCGTTGTAAATACCGTAAAGTGCGTACCGAAATTTCTGGTACAGAGAACATGCAGTCCAACATGTTTTCTTTTGAACTGCTGCGATTACCTGCAAAAGAATAACTTTGTTATGCCGTGATGAGGTAACCGAAAAATGGGCAGTAGCCTTCTGGGATTAAAATATTGGAATTGGAGTTCTTTGCAATGTTTTTGGACTAAAGGAGAATATTCGAATTTATGAAGTGTCACAAAAAATGAATAGCGCTTAATTACTTACCCATACATTTTCCATAGTCTTTTCAGTCGTGATGAGCCTACGCAAATTTGAACAAATTGTAATGCGTCCATAATTCAACTTTAATAGTAGTGCCCCTGACAAAAAGTGTTTTTAATGACAGCAGAAAATCTTATTGTTTAAATCGTAAAGAACCGAACAATTACTTTGTAATTATAATGCGGAGTGTGGTGGAAAACATGCATTGAAAAATTGCATGCTATTGTTTTTTCCTTCGTATCAGGTGTGAGTGTGTGGTATTCTTATTAATAATTTGTATCCCCTTCATATGTTCCAGACTTTGTGTGTGTTATATTCTTAATTAATAATATAAAAATTATATCTCTGTATAAAAGATTTTGTAGTTAATTAAAAATAGGTAACGAATTCAAGCCGCGACCAGTGCTACCTCACCATTTACCCAGCACGGGCCAGGAAAAGGAAAAAAGCCCCAGACACATGACCAGTGAACTCCCCTGGAAATTAGAGATTCAACTAAGAAAGTATTTATTGAAGAACATCAAGTCGATACATTTACTTGTATATATATGCTCACAGCCATGTGTAAAGAGATGAAACAAAGGTTATGTACATCTAATGGTGAACAGGAAAGGAAAATATTAGACATAGGAAAAGGACCCAAGAGTCAGAGATCAAGCAACAAATTGTAACTTCTGGGAAAAAGTGGCTCCAGAACAAGATATCCCTAACCTTCTATGACGATGAGTTTAGGTTTTTCTTTGGGTGATCTAAGAGCGATGGAATAAGAACACTTTTTTTAGGATAGCGCAATCTCAAGCCCTACTTTTAACAACTCTTTTTTTATAGTTACAATAGCATTTCTCCACGATATGTATCATTATCAAACCTGGGCTTTTTAGGTTGTTCTATGCTAGTATAGCTTCTAGGCGTAGCACACCAAAGATTGTGACCCAAGCGAAAGCAGGAGAAAAAAATTTACCAAATACTTGAATATTGATGAAGGAAACGCTTGGAAATTTGCCTGGTTATTTCTATAAGATGATATACAAGTGATAAAATAATTGCGGTACGGAATTCTTAGCTCACATCACCATTTCTCCCTGTGGAAGCAAACAACCCACGTTATTTATAATGATTATAGATTACGAGTTATCACTGACCCCTCATTTTCAAAAAATTAACCGCCATCAATGGCCTCAATTTGTTTGAGAGAACATAAAGACATCCCCTTACTGATTTAGATAACTTAAAATACGAAATCACTTTTAATAATGAACGAAACTTAATTCAGAAGTTATATTATAGATTCAATGTGAGCACATTCTTCATATTCTGCCCGAAATTGAACATAAAGTATAATTTGTATCCATGGGTACATACCTTTCCCTAATTTTCTAGAAATTTGATCCTTACACCGCCTTTAACATTCTCCAGCTCTTTTCCAGGGCTAAAACTTTACCATGTAAGTAAACCGGGAAAAAGGATCCCACCCTTTAATGTAACCATTTTTCAAGAAGCTATGCCTTCTACTATTTAATGATTAATTAGTTTACAAATTAAAAATTAACGAATGCATTTTTAAAACACGTTAAAAATTAATACATTACATAATACGATTAATTCAGAAAGTTTAATAGATGCATATTAATCGAATAAAAAATAATCGATTACTATTTAATAATTGTCCATTCCTAATTCAGGCTGATGCACGGAAAACCTTGAGATGTATCGTGTTCACCTATTTAGAGAGGAAAAACAAGTTTGATTTTTTAATGCTTTCAGAAAAATTTGGCAGTAAACATCTTGCACCCAGCCTTGTTTTAACACTCATTTTAGGTAGCAAAAATGAAACAGAATCTCGGAATGACAAAGTTGAGCATTTCCTGGTAAGGTAAGGTCTCTACAATATCAACGTAGGTGGAGTAAATCTAATGGAGAGAATGTCACTTACTCCATCAATAGCTAGAACAAAGAAATGGCCTTTTAGAGTAATCTTACACATGTTAGATTTAGTACTGTGCAAAAGGTGGGTATTGTATAAAAATGATTGGCTACATAGAAAATCTTCAATAATCAAAAATGAAGACAAAATAGAAAATGGAATAAGGCCAAGGACTATATGAAACAAATAGTTGCAGAGATGATTGTGTTTTTGTTAAAAATCAACGGAAGAGAAAGGCACTTCCTTTCAATGTTACGAGATCACACACAGCGGGACAGTAACTGGTGGAATCCAGCAAAGATGCAGAAACAACAAAAGACCTCTGAAATGCAAGCAATGTAACACTTTTTCCTGCATCACTAATTATTTTCAGTCTCCACATCACAGAAATTATGCTGATTTTCGGTCAGGTAAAAAATTTGTTATTTTTTAACAGATAACTTGTCAGTGTCATAATTAAATTACATATTGCGTATGTTGTAATTAAATTTATTTAATGAAAAAAATAATATATTTTATCAAAGTTAGGAGATCTTGGAAGTTGAGGAGTTGAACCCACTGAAAAGAATGTAGGTCAATCAGGAAAAAATACATTAAAAACGAATTAATAACTCGCTTCTACACAGCAGGCGACAGCGCACCACACTCGGAATTACTTGGCACGGAGCAGCTGAATTCATGTCAGAGGCAGGATACGATTCAGGGCCGTATTCAAAGTCGACACTTATTTTTGAGGAACACTGAAGTGTTTACTTATTCGCGTTTTCAATTCATAGTCGTCACTTATGTGTTTTCTTAAGTATTCACTTATTCCTTTAAGTGAGCTTATCTGTACCCTTATTTTACAACGAGGAATAACAAAAGATTTTTATGAGTTTTTGAAATTATTGAAATCAATACGGATGACTGTATATAGCAAAACGCAATTTCAGAGACGTGGAAAATCCTTTTGAAATGCATAGACAAGAATTTAAGAAGATATATCATTTTGACAAGGATACGGTTGTAAATATTAGTATCTCCGTTGCTCACTCACAACGTGGGCTTGAGAAATAGAGGATAATAATTATCACCAGTCTTAAAAATGCTAATGGCACACATATTTAATGCAACATCGTTTCAGTTACGTAATTTATTGATTTCAATTGCAGACCATCGGGGCGTATTTAGTTGGTTATTATACGAGGACCATGTTTTATAGGTTATCCTTCATATGATGCATTGTGATTATTATGCTTTTATTTTTTTTTCAGTACAGGCGTACGAATATCGTACGCCCATAATTATACTTACAAATCTCGCAAAATTGGAAACATTCTACCAATAGTAATTATTCGCACAGGACTTCGCCGATCGAAGCAACGAAACGAAATTTATAATTTAATTTCTGTTGATAGTCTGTCGATCAAACCAGATGCTCTTCATACGCTTAGAAGAACAGCCAAAATTGTAAACAAGATTGACACGGCCTTCCAGATTTGTATCTAGTAACCAAAAAAGCAATGTTGCCAGATATTATGAAGCGAAATATTGCTGGAGTGCGACTCTCGAATAAGTGGGGTCTATGAATACGAAACTGTCATAAGGGTTCACTTATTTTAAGTAAATGCAAATCCCCGATGGAAAACTGTTTCTGCTGTAGCACGACATTGGTGAAAATCTACTGCTATTTTATCGAAATACCACGGAATGGAACACCAGAATGGGCGACAATAAAATAGGCGGTTACTAGTTGTATTGAAAACTGGGTTAGAAAGTTGTCAGCAGCACTCTAGAACTTTGATACGATTAGAGTGATGGTCAAGACAAGGAGCGTACGCGACAAAGCGATTTAAGAAGTGCTAATGAATAGGGACGTCGAGCTTTCCTTAACGTTTGTAAGATAAAAGGAATCAACCAGTTCTGTCAGACTACGCAATAAAATCTGATTCAGAACTTTGACATAAAACGTAAAAAAACAAATACATTTAAAAAACGCCGGGAAGATCCGTATTAATGCACGCGCAGAAACACTGAATGTGAAGCACGCGACGTGTTTTTATTGGAAGAACCCTGCCGTCAACTATATTAGAACTTAAAGGGACGTCGTTTCCCATGTGTAATTTTTAAAACGAAATTACAACTTATATTCTTTGTTTTTTGACATAGAATAAGGTGAAATTTGGAAACTTCTTTCAATTATTTTAAAATCACCTGCTTTTTTCTCCCAACTTCGTTGGTCACGTCTGTCTAACAGCTGATTAATTCTTCGCCAGTATGCATCAGAGAGTACCAGCTCATGGATTTGTTTTCTAAAAACCTTTTAGCAAAATAACTTTTAGACTAACTTGTAATGTGTGGTATTAAATTCAGTGCGAACTTGACACCTGAATGTGAATGGGAGATGGAAAACATCAAGTTAACGCACTTTCATTTAAGTAAGCGAAACTTCAATTTGCAGGGACGATGAAAGACTGAAATCACCGAATTTTTTGGACTCTATGTACAAGATCCTCAAGCCACACGACTGCGTTCGAAAAAACCACACTAGCATGTAAACGTGCTAACGTTTCCCGCAATTAAACCAATCGAAGGGACCCGCATCTCCATGGGTGCGCAAGTGTTTCATTTAAGTTGGCAACTTGACGCTTTTCTAGCAAACTGTATAGCGAAACGACCTCTCAGGAGAATGATTTCGCATGAATTTCAACCACCATTCTGTGCAAACCTGAGCCTGCAATTCTAATGGGCTTTCACCTGAATGGGTCCGCATGTGCCTCACCAAAGTCTGCTTTAATCCCAATCGTTCTTCACAAACAGTACACGCATACGGCCATATGGACTCGCCAGTGTGAAACTAAACACAGTCTCTGGGTAAAAATTTGCTTACAGGTTAAACACACAAAGGGGTTTTCACCGCAGATACAAAGAGTCCGCATGTAGGATCAGCGATCTCGCAAATGCAACATTCGTATTCACCAGTAAGAGCCCAATTGTGGCGAAGCAAAATTCTGTTTGTTGAACTTTCATTGCAGATGTTGCGTTTGTTCGGGCTGCTGTTTGTGGGCGATCGCTTGTCGGGTACATTAGTCACACTTCCTGAACAGACCTTAATATTGGAGAGATTAACGTCGTAGTTCGTCTTCTGATGGAGATGCTGCGGGCGCAAAACGCCCACATGCAAACTTTCTTGGTGAAGTCTCCTTCCTGGCGTGTGTTCCCATCTCTATTGTCCCTGCAAACAGAACGAATTCGATGTGTAATAATTGGAAATGAACTTTTCTCTGACCTGTACAGATCGTACAGCTGCGGAGACTACTGCTTTGAGAAGAAACTGTGACTGGATTGGAAAAATTACACCAACACGCAAAACGCAGAAAATGTGTAGAAGTTTGATAAATATATTTCATATACATTAATTATTACTTCCATTAACATGTGGTACAGCAAGATGTATGTTTTGTGGGTCCTTGATATCGAAAAATCCATTGACGGCAAAACGTCTGTCGCCTGTGGTCAACGCTAGCGCCTAAACCGTTCAGTTCCGATTTTCAAAACCGATATTCCCCGATCGATGCGAACCAACTCGAGGCTTGGAAAGTTTCAAACGGCTACTTTGATTTTACTTTCTGGCACTTGTTAACATAACGAAGAGGAAGTATTGTAATCGCGCGCCGGAAAACGGCGAATTTTCGACACAAAAACTTTTATTGCCATGCTGGTAAGGAAAAAAAGAGTAGTTTTTTGTGTAGTTTCTACGTGAAATTAATGAAATACACACATGTTTCACACCAACTACAGGCCACGAGAAAAATTGAATGAATGATATGAAAAATAATTCATTTGGACATTAATTATAATTTCTATTGAAAAAGCCAATATATAATTACTATCTTTTCTTTTTCGCTTTTTTACTTTTTACTCAATGTGTATTCTCATGTATTGATTTACTTCGTTTTAAACAATCCGCAAGCTTAAAAGAAATCCCCAGCGGACATTCCGGAAGTTTTACGCAAGCTTTTGGGTGAAGAGCCGGTGGAGGAAGAGCCATTACTTACAGTTACAAGGCCGGCCTGCCTTCTGCACGATTGCCTACTCAACGCGATTTTACTTCCTCGCGTTCCATTCCAGGCCTATTGCTGTCTTACGGCGCACACTAATGCCAAATCCCGATTTCGTGGCCAAAAAGCCAACAATCGAAATTCAATTTAGGGAGTTTTATGTGTCTAAATAGTTAGTTTTGGTACGTTAAACGATAGGAATGAGCGATACGAGGACGAGTTTCCATTTTTTCCCGCGTGAATTCGAGTAGAACGTAACCATCAAGGAGTCGTTTATGGTTGTTCGCGTACTGCAGGTTTTTCAACAATTTAAATCTTGGTAGTTTTTTTTGTCTCTGGAGATATCTTGGTGATTCAAAATGGACAAAAAAGGTGAAAGTAAGTACATTATAAGCTTTTCATCTCATATAATATTTGATTGCTTTTGATTTATTGCATATTTTGCCATGTTTTAATACGTTTTAATTAAATCAAAGACAATCTTCAATATATAGAGTAAAATTCTCCACGATCCTCCGGTCTGAAACAAGTTTATAGTGTTCTTCAATTATTTTTAAACAGTTAAAATTAAAAAAAAGTTGCCCGCGTGACACCATTTTTCTTAATTCTTCTTTGTCTCCAGCAGCGCACAATACGTGTTATGTTGAGTGTTGTGTTATATAATAAGACCGAATTTTCGTGTAGTAAAAAGCCAAAACATGCAAAATCATGTATAAAATATTGTTATATTGTACTAGTTTTTTTTTGACAAAATCAAGTTTTATTTAAATTTCAGTCTATTCTGTTCGCTGGTTTATCGCTATTATTTATTTTACAGAAATAAGAAAAAAAACGTAATGACGAGAAAGGAAATTTCTCGACTGTAATCAAACATCGCATAAATGAAGAAATAAAGTTTTGTTGCCAAATAATTAAGAATATTTGGCACAAATAAATGAGGAACCATTGCATTTGTCACATGAGGTAAAAGAAAAAGTTGAAATTGTTGGATTAGTAAATTGAGAATTAAATTTATCAAGAAAGCAATAGAACTAATCTCTACGTTTTTGTACGAAAATGAATCGTGGCTGAAAATGGAGTTTGAATATTCTAAGACGGGTGATAAATAGTGGGACCCATTACACGATTGACTATGGAACATCAAAAGGGGACGTCCGTCTCTCTCTTCGCTGATGTAGTGAGCGAGACTAAACGCAGGCAGCAAAGGAGGATCAGAGAAAACACAGCGTGGAAAGATTGGCCTTTGCAACTAAATGAGTTTGGCGTGTTAGTGGAAATATTGATGCGGCGAAGTTGTGCAGGATGCTTTCGAAGGGCCCAACAAGGCGAAGACATATAGAACGTCATTATCAATAACCGCGAGAGGACAGATGACAAAGAAAGAGGTTCTTTCGCTTTTGTTGAAAATAAAATGTCTCGAAGTAGTTAACAATATTAGAGCCAACAGCATTCACATAATGCACATTGTATCTCTATAAATGCGTTTTACAAGCAAAAAGGAATGTTACCCTCCGCTTCAGAAATATTAATTACAGAATCTAGGCGAAGTAAAACTACAGAGTTTGTTGGACACTACTACAGCGGAATATTACTTCTTCAAAACGGAAGTTATCCTAGCCCCACTAAGAATGAGCTGTAAATCTAACTCTCTGTGTAGATGAAGGGGGAGCTTGGATGAAACTCCGGGCAAAGTATGTTTAAAGCAAAAATTGACAATTATGCTGCGAAAGTCTCGAGTACTTTTTTTACTTCACTTGTGGCCTTCAATTGTATATTTTAATGATATCACAAGCGACAAAAATTGTTGGGAAAAACCTCCTCGATTCATCCACGATCTTTGTTCGGCCAATCAAAATTGAATTTTTACAAGAACTGCTGAAAATACAAAATACCAAGTTCATTGTATTGTTGAACTAGAGCGAAATCTTACTCCTACCTATACAATTGTTGAACGGAAAAGTGACTAATTACACAGTTGGCATTAACCAGGTCGACTGCAAGTGTGCAATTCTTTGACAGACACATCTCTCAGTCAAAGGTGCTACCTTTGCCACTCTACTCACAGCAATTTAACAATGTAGATGCAATGCTTGAAAAACACATTAAGAAGAAAATTTGCAATTCGGTATATCCTCTTTACATTTGGATTCCGGTTTTTCGAGTGCCGTTTGCACATTTCAAAATAATATTTTTTTTTTTTTTTTAGCAAGTCAGAAATGGCCATAAACGTGGTGTAGAAAAGAGAGATTGGAAATCGAAAAAATATCAAAACAATTCCGTCAACAATTGGGACTATTGGTAGATATGCCAAAACAAGGTTTCGGAAGTACGAACGATGGCAACACTGCGCGACGTTTCTTTGAAAACTCTAAAATTTCTGCCACAATTACAGGAATAAAAGAATTTGTTGAAACGGTTTCACAGAATTTTACAGGTTATTTTTTCGGGTTTTGAAATTGATGTACTTAAGTATCAAGAATATTGTATAGAAACTGCTCGTTTCTTTGTTGAATTGTACCCGTGGTTTAACATGCCCACTACTGTCCATAAATTGTTGATCCACAGTGCACAAATAATTGACTCATGGTTTTTACCAATTGGACAAATGTCCGAGGAAGCCCAAGAGTCTTGCAACAAATTAATAAAAAAGTATAGGCAAGACTTCGCGCGCAAAACAAGTCGCACCGAAAATATGCAAGATGTTGTTTTGCAACTTTTGGTATCGTCAGATCCGCTAATATCTAGCGTACATAAATTACCCACAAGGAAATTCAAATCATTAGAACCTCAAGCAATAGAATTACTGAAACCACCAAGCTTCAATTCACAAATCGAAATGCCAATAATCAAAGGCAGTGAGGATGAAACCGAATGCTCTGATGATGAATACTAAGCTGTTATTTGAATGACACGTGTTTGTGCTGCATCTTTTGTACTTACATTCATTAAAACTGATAATTAAATAAAGTTTCTCTATATTTTTATTATTCTGCAGTTTGTCCATCTACATTTTCGAAAAATAATATCAAATTTGAAATTAGCGACATCGAATACACACTCACACAACTTTTTGTCAAAATTTAATGATTTTTCTCACATTTGGTTCTCCATATTGGATCCGCCATTTTGTTTTTCGACAATATTATAACAAATTTGAAATCACAGACCTCCAAATCTTTAATGGACTTAATTTGAAAACCATTTGAACATGTTTTCTAATTTTGGCCACGAAATCGAGCTTTGGCATCTGTGCGGCGTCAGGCAGACGAGATTCGGCCTCTTCTCGCAGCACCGGGCGGCGAAGACAAATCCCATGAAATACGCATAAGAACAGAAAAAAAAATACTTGGTACTACGTACGTATGGTGTTAATTGGCTAAAAACATTATGAATCTACATTTTTTATTTTTTATTTTTTTTTTGTAAAGGGATATTTCTCGCCTTCTTAAAGATTCTTGGGGATAGCTGAGCTTACTTTGCCCACTCGTCTGTGAACAACGCTAGCGACTAAACAGTTCAGTTGATTTCCTTCAAAATTGATATTCTCCAACCGATATTTTCATTTTGGGGGACGGTCTTGAAGTCCCTGGGACATAAAAATAAAGATTCACCATTTTTTTACATTTTGTTATTGGACAGAGTGAATGTTCAAAAGAATGGCACAGGTCTCACGTTCGTGAGGATGAACAATTTTCTTAATGAAATGTATTTATGATAAACAGGTCTAAAAGTAATTTCATGTTCATTTTTTTAAAGTAGTATTTTTTGCAAAACTGTGCCAAACAGCAAATTTATAGTTTATTTTAACTATTTTTTCTTAAAACCCACACACTTTATTAAATTTAGACCTTAAGATGGAGTAAAGAACGCTTAACAGAATGGTGCAGGTCTCATTTTCGTTGAAACGCCTGATTTTTCAAAAATTGAAAAAACGAACTTTCGACACTCACAGTGCCCACCGCGTGTCGGTCTTTTGGACACATCAAAGGGAGCGAACATTCCTCGAGCACATGAGCTGTTCGAGATTGGGCGAGCAGTAGCTCGCTGCTCGGCGAATGCCGAATGTGCAGAGCCGCCTTTAGATACACTTTCCGAAACAAGACACCATTCATTCGACAATGGATTTTCAACCAGTTGCAATTTCCGTCTTGAATGTTCAGAGTTCTGAAAGTTC